CGTCGAAGCCTTTGTAACTGCAGCCTTCCTGTTCCTCAGCGGTCGCCGCATGCACTCAGCAAACAGAACGATCAACTTGGAACAAAGCCAGTTTCCGTGCACCACACGTGAATTCTGCCGAAACCTCTGTCGTCTCGTCTTGTCCAGCCCTTCTAAAATACGTACTCAACCTCACTCTACCTCAAGGCGAGCAAAAATCACTCTCGACAAACTGTGTATATTTGTTGCCCGGCCTTATGCTTCCAAGAACCGATCGATCAAGTCCAACCTGAAGCAGTACGAGACCGCCAAGAAGAAGAAATATCACTCGGCCGTCTGCGACTCCCGCGTGACCTTCTGCCCTCTGGTGGTGACGTGTGACGGTGTGTGGGGACACGATGCCAACGTGTTCATCGCCCACATGGCTCATGCGCTGTTGGAGAAGGAGGGGTGGAAGGGTCGGGGGTTCAGTCATGTGTCTGGATGGATTCGCTCTCGCTTGTCTATCGCCCTCGCGCGTGCGACTAGCTACTGTCTGCGTGGGGGAGGCAGGGGAGGGTTTGCAGGACTGGGGTGTGCTGATGGGGCGGGGATCGATCCCTCCTCCCCGTGAGCGTTTGACTCTGCGTGCTCATGGGACTGTATGTTCATGAGTATCACGGACACACAGACGAGTGTTACGGTTAATGCAAGTTTCCCCCGATATTTGTTGCCCGGAAATATCGTATGCTCTCCGTCTGGCCGATCGCCTCCCATTACTCGGGGGCCCCTCCCCCCTCGTAACAGTTCGACGACACGCATTGGCGTGGGGTCCCATCGAATGCGGACTGCACACTCTCCGCCTTTTCTTGACACACAGAGGGTGCGCGTGTGCAGGCGATGATGGCACACACACACACACACACACACACACAGAGGCACAGACTGCACACTGCACACTGCACATACAGGCCTTCCCCCCCTCCCTCTCTGCGCGTGGACCCCTGTTGACATATGAGCCTGTGTGTGAGTGTGTCTGTCTGTCTGCCACACGCTGCTGCACACGCGCATTCACCAATTTCGCAAACCCTACGCATAACTAGGGTTTAGATGAGCATGTCAGCCGCCTCTCCGCCCCCCGGCAATGGGAAAAAGCCTCCAAGCGAAAGTATTAGGGTTTAGGGTGTAGGGTTTGCGAGTCTCGCACTGAGACCGACCGACGCCCTCACAGAAAGGCCTCACACGAAGCGAGAAGCAGCCAGAAGGCTCCCCAGCTGAGATCTCTCTCTGTTTGTGTCTGCCTGTCTTCAGGAAGATGCTGCCCATTCTCAACGACCAGGCGACGCTGCTCAAAGGCAAAGCAAAGCGTTTCTTTGACATTGATGAAGATGCGATTGCGCTTTGGAAGGAGACCATAGGTGTTCTACTTAGAGCTCCCCTAGGCACCGACATGGGAAGGAGCTCGGTTCCACCTGCCGTCCTCCACACACACGCCCATCCAGTGTCCTTCCACACACAACACAGGCAAACTATGAACAGAATATCCCCACACAGTGGTCAGCTTCTCGCGTGCACCTTTCCTGTACAGACACATAGACAGCCTTCCCCCCTCCCCCCCCTCTCCTCCTCCTCCTCCTCCTCCTCTGTGTGTGTGTGTGTGTGCCCGTCTGTTGGTTGTTGGCCGGGCCGTGTTCAGGTTGGCACCATCTGGCCACCACGCGCACGCACGGACACACACGAGACGACAAACACCAACACCCCCATCAATCAGTCAACCAATCAACCCATCCTGCCGCTGCTTGGTATGGTGGCCTCCGTAGTGTCCTCATGGGGGGCGTATGGCTGCGGCCGAGCGTAGACGAACCTTGTGCCAGGCTGAAGGGCGACCATCCGCGCCTCGCCGGGAGGCGCCAGGTCACGCTTGTAGCCACGAGCCCTCATCACGTGCCTGCAGGCAACGATAGACGCACAAATGGATGCAGGAAAACACAAGACGAGAGCCAAGTGTGTTGTATTTTCACACACCTGTACTCCTGGCATATGCTGCACGGCCAGCACCAGAAGACCATACAGCAGTCGCCACAGCTGTCACCGGCCTCGATGTCGTAGTGCCTGCACGACAAACCAACACAGGAAACGACAGACAGACAGACAGACAGAGATGGTTGCCCGTCGCACGCAACTCTTCTCTTTGTGCCTGCCTGCCTGACCTGCGCAGCTTGGTACGGTAGACGAGAGCGACGACAAACACGACCACCCACACGAGAATCCAGATTACCGGCCTCACAATCCACAACATGGCGAGTGCGATGAATGGGAAATCGGAGTCGAAGGGAGGCTCATGGGCCGCCGCGGTTCCATTTCCGTGGTAGTGAGTTTGGTTCACCAGGGCACTGTGGTCGAACACGGTGTGGTTGTTGTGGCTGCGGCCAGGCACGAGCTGGCCGTCATCGTGAGCTGCTATCGATTCCTCCGTTGTGATGATCCAGATCATCATGCAGATGGTGATCACCATGTAGACAGCGAAGCCGAACAACGGCAAGCCGATGAACACCAGCAGCCCCACACGCAACGACAGGATTTTGGTCTCTCCCAGACCCCAGGCCTGCATGCCATGCCATGCCATCCAACACAGCGAGAGAATGAGTGACAAGGAAGACAAGAAGGTGTACATGTGTTAGCTAGCCATGGTGGTCACCTTCATGTAACCCAGGCCGCAGAACGACCCCAGCCACCCCAGTAAGCAGCTGGGCCAGTCGGAAAAGCAGTCGCACAGGCCATCACTCCAACGACCTGCATAGAAAGCGAGAGACAGTTCAACCTCCAACTTCAATGGTGCCGCTGCGTTTTTGCTCACCGCGCCAGGCTTGATCTTGCGCTTCACCGATGTCGTCCCCTGGGCCGACGACCAGGAGGGGAAGGTTTTCCCCGGGAGGCCGAACGTGAGGCGGGGGAGGAGCCACAGGCGCCGTGGCGCGTTGCTGGACGAGCTCAACCTGTCCAGTTTCCATCTAGGGAGGGAGGGCTGACGCTCGACAAGTGGAAACGCAGAGTCCCTCTTCTCTCTGTAGCCTCCCTTGGCGTTTCACGATGGACCCTGGGGAGGGTTGGGAAGGGAGGATGGATGGCTGCAAGGAGCTCGACGAGGCGTTGGTGGCGAGGACAGAGGAGAAAGCCCTCAAGAACCCAACAGGACTCGCACAGATCGGCCACATATTCGATGACTGCCAGGTAGGTCAGGAAGGAAGGCCTGTGCACTCATCGCCACTCATCCATCGTGGACACATCTCATCTCATGAGTGGTATGCCTCCTCTCTCTTGTGTGTCAGGAGGTGGGTACAGTTGAGGAGGTGGCCTCCTGCCTGCAGAGCCTCCAGCGCATCTTCTACCACTACAAGAGGCAGCACCGGCTGCCGGCATTCCTCAACGCCAAGCGCAGGAAGCGACAGTGGGATGCCGAGGGAGATGGAGAGGGCGAGGATGACGGTGCCACGGGCGCGACGGACGGTTTGAGCACCGCCGACGAGAGGCTGCGCAAGTGGCTGGAGCTCAACTTTGACAACTACGTCAAGCTGGTGCTGTCCTTCATCTCGTGTCAGCCGAGGGGGAAGCAGACGAGGAGCAAACTACAGGTGAATCAACACAGCCACGCACACGAAAGAAGGTGGGTCGCGTCATGTTTGTTCTGTGTGGCCCAATCCTTCATATATTCAATTCAGGTATGTGCGGTGCGGCACTACCTGCACAGTCTGCAGCAGGAGGCCTTGCTATGGCAGCAGCACGAAGACTTCACCTTCCCCACGCGCTTCCTCCAGACCCTCGTCCACGAGGTCGTCCACGCCCCCACCTACACCACCGCCCTCCACACCACACTCATGGCCGAGTACCTCACCCCCTATGCCGACCTCTCCTACTACTTCCTGCTCGTGCTCAAGCGCGTCATCAACCACACACACCAGCAACTCAAGCAGGCCGAGGCCGGCAGCAAGGAGGAGGAAATGAACGGCGATGTGCCGCCGTCAAAGGCTGACAGCAACGGCAAGGGCGAGCCAACGTACCCAGGTGTGTTCTATCTGGGTGCGCTGATGGGTGTGCGCGAGCCTGAGTCGGGAGCGGAGAGCTCTGCGGCCGCCACTGACGGGCCGCATCTGAGCCACGAGCTGCAGACCGTCAGCAAGCGGTGCCTGCAGATGCTCAAGAGCGTCCCGCGCCCAGAGAAGGCTCCAAGAGGGAGCAAGAGGCGCAGCAAGTCCGCCGACGGGCAGGAGGAGGAGCGGCCTGAAGGTCTGTTCGTGGCCAATGTGCTGACGACCAAGTGCAAGAGCCCGCATTCCTATCGGCTGGCGTACCAGTCCGCCTGGCTGGCGTATCTGAGTCTGCCGCTGGTGCCGTCGACCGCGCAGTCTTTGCTGAGCCATCTGTCTGTCGGCGTGATGCCCTACATCTCCAACCCTCTCACTTTGGCGGATTTCCTGCTCAAGGCCTTTGACAAGGGCAGCTACGAGACGTCCATCACGGCCCTCAGTGGGCTCTTCTACCTGCTGACCAAGTACAAGCTGGGCGACCCCGAAGTGGTGGCCAAGTCGGTCTCCCGCTTCTATCACCGGCTGTATGACCTCATCCGGCCCGCCATCTTCGCCGTGCCCAACCGCAAGACCTTCCTGCAGCTCGTCAACCTCTCCCTCCGCTCCACCATGGTCCCCTCCGCCATGCTCGCCGCCTTCTGCAAGCGCTTAATGCGAGTGGCGTGCCTGTCGCCCCCACACGGAGCCGTCTGGTGCGTGGCCATGACGTATGCGCTCATCATGCGCAACAAGGCCGTGTGCATGCCCCTCATCCATGTGGATCGGCCGGAGTGGACCGACCCCACTGTGCCCGAGATGGAGCCGATCGAGGGAGGCGACCCTTTCTTTCGCGTCAAGGGTGACCTGGATGCGCTGTGCGAGATCGTCAAGCAGCATGAGGGAGCGGAGGGAGAGGGGGAGGATGGAGAGGGGGAGGGGGAGGGCGGGAAGCAGCAGCAGGCGGTGAATCGCTTCAAGGGCTTCTCTCTGTGGGAGATCAAGCTCCTCAGGAAGTAGGCAGGAACTCACACACACGACAGGAGAGGAGGCGAGCATTACATGTGTGTGTGTGTGTGTGTGTGTCAGGCATTGGCACCCTGCCGTGGCCGATCTCGCCCAGCTCTTCGAGGCAGACATGACCAAGGTAACCAAACACACAGACAACAGACAACACACATCCACACTCCCACTGTCCTCTCTCCCTGTGTGTGGTCAGTGGGACGCCAAGCAGGTCGACCCTGACGACTTTGCCGACCTGACGCCCGCCACCCTGCGGAAGGAGAGCCTCAAGGTGCTCAAGAAGCCACAGCTGTACAGCCCCACACCCAACCCGTCCGACCCCCTGGCCGACGAGCTCTTTGACATATCCATGGACCTCGAGGCCTTCCTTAGGGGAGAGGCGCCCAGCTGTAAGGCGATGGCGGCGGAGGCCAAGAGGAGACTTGTGGGCAGAGAGAGCGGGGGAGGAGGGGGGAAGGCAGCGGATGATGGCGAGTGAGGAATGTGGTTGGCTAGGTGAGTGGTGGGGATGAGTGTGGTGCGGTATGTGAGGTGTTGGTGTGCCGAGAGGAAGGTTTGATTCGGGATAAGGATTTATGTGTGTGACCCTTGTCTCTGTCAGTCATCGTGTCGCAACCATGAGTATCACAACACTCACGCAGTGACGACTATACACACCGAGAGGTCCACGAGAGGTTCGTTGCGGCCGAATCTAGACCCTGGCCGACTGCACGCGCCACATCTCATATCATCTGCGAATCGAGATCGGTTTGGGGCTGTATACCCCTTCCTTCTGCCTGAAGGCAGACGCCACTTCGCGCCAGTCTCCGAAAGCCACGTTTTCGCCGTTTACGAGATGCGAGCTACAGGATCGCAAGAGGGATGGGGAGGACAGCAGGAGGTAGGCTGTGAGGATGCAGCACCGGACAGACCAGAAGCCACAATGAGCGATATATCGTGATCTAGCTGCGTCGATGAATGACTCCTCCATGAACCTGCGGAAATGCCTGGCTGGCGGCAACAAGGCACTCGACGACGACAGGAACACCCAAGATAGAGGCTACGACCCGCCGGCAGACTCCATTGGGCGCGGCAGGGCCACGAAGGAGCAGATAAGAGTCCCCTCTACTTCCTTGCCCATCGCCCCTCACACACCGCAGCATGCCAGCAGTGCGTCATCGGCCGGGAAGGCCAGCCATGGCGGCAAGGGTGGCGACGAGAGGAGGGGCGCACCGTCTGCAGGCAGTGATGTCATCCAGAGGCCACATGCAGCTCCTGTCAAGGTGCGCGTACGCACACACGCGCACCCGAACACTGGTGAATTGCGGGTGTGGATGTGTTTGGTCCTGTGTGCAGATACCCAACCTCTCTCTGCGTCAGGAGGATCTCGTAGATGCTGGTGGCGTCAGCAAGGGCGAGTGCAATCGCAAGCTCGTCTGTGATGAGAATGGCGACAGTGTCGTCCTCCCTGACACCGAAGCCATGGTGGTCGAGGTTGCCGAGCAGGCGCGTGCATCGCTTTCCCGGCCTGGTGGTGCGTGGAGGGAGGAGGTCGCTGTCGGCCTTAAGCAACGCATGCCCCATAACCGATTCTTGTGCGTGCGCTTGCAGAGCACTGCTGTGTTCCAGGCAGCCGCTCTCAGGTGTCGGCTGTATAGACACGGGGTAAGGAAGCACATAAACCCCCACACGCATATGGTTATGCCTTTTCTGTATTTGTATGCGTGCAGCCCCTCTGTGTGTGTTTGGCCGACGGGGGCGAGCCTAGCGACCCCTCCCCACCGGCACCCCCATCCCCAGAGGAGAAGGGACACTTCGAGACGGCGGTCGGCGCAACAATGAAGCAGGCGGTCAAGCAGGCGCGCGAGGAGGGGCGGCGCCACGAAACGGACGAGCGCCTCGTCAGCGTTGACGTGAATGGACTCGCGGGGAAGGTGCTGGAGCAGCTGATGGACCGCAGAGTGGTCGTCGGCAGCCACCCCAAGACCATCGTCCTGCTGTCAGCCGTGGAGGTGCTGCCCTCGGACTGGTTCATTCATGATGGATCCGCCGCCGGGGTGCCTGTCGAGTGGACCTTGGGAGCGGGCAGCCTGTGGTTCGACTTGATCAGATGGAACCCCCTCACCACCTACAGCAGCACGTCTTTTCCGTCGGCGGACCTGCAGGCAGCCAGCACCATAGCCCCTCCCCTGCCCCCTCCCGCAGCCCAGCCGGCACGGCAAACGGCCAAAGAGAAGCGCGACAAGCTGCGAGCAGAGGAGCCCAGCCGACAGGCCGAGCAACAAAAGTTGGTGGCCAGTGCTGGACGGGGGACTGGTAGCAGGGCTGATGGTGCGTCTGAGGACATCCCGACTTCCATCAGCTGCCATACCATGAGCGACACAGACGTCAAAGAGGCCTGCAAGTGGGCCACGCCACACACATCGTTTCGCCGTGACACCATCCCATCTCACACCGTCTGATGCGTGTGTGTATAGGCGTTACCTGCGGGCCAAGAAGGAGAGCCTCTCGGCCATCCGCAACGTGAGCCCATCAGCAGACGAGACCCCCATACTGAGCATACTGCAGAAACACCTGCCCGACGTCGGAGAGGTAGGCACACGTGCACGTCGGTCAGGTGTTCATAGACACGTCGGTCCTGCACGACATGTATCATGATGCTGTCCATGTGTAAGTCATTGACGTCTGCGATGAAGGACTGTCGCCCATATTGAGTGTCTGCCTGTCTGTCCTGTGTGTCACTCAGCATGTGGATCGGATAGTGTCGGCCGGTGCTGATGAGGAGAGCAGAAAGCGGCTCGAGGAGGCCTGCTGGAAATGCGTTGCACGGTGAGAGAGAGAGAGATGCATAAGAAGAAAGCATCGAACACGGCATGCCTCATCTATGTGTGTGGTGGGTGTCTGTGGGTAGCTTCACTTGCATAGGATCCAGCGGCTGGCAGAGTTACAAGAAGGCATACGAGCAACTCAAGAGAGAGGGTATGGTGCCCGATCGTTTCCCCGACTCCCAGTCTTCCGGACCCCCTCCACCCGCCCCAGCATCTCGACCCACACCCACGCCGTCCGCTCACCGCCGTGCGGCTAGTGAGGACCAACGGACCAATCAGCTATCACCGTTTACCACTCCCTCCCGGCACCACGGCGCCCCTGACGTCAGCAGAGTGATCCTCAGCCCCAAGCTGCAGGACGAGCCATTTGGCAGTGTCGAGTTTGCGACCGCCAAGGGCATGTCGTCATCGGCGACGGCTCGGCCGTCGGCTGGGGCCTGGTGTGGCACTGGTCTGCTCGAGGGAGACCACAGCTCTGACAGCGACGGCCCCAGCTCACTGATGGGCAGCAAGGACACAGCAGGCGTGGGCGAGGCGCCGAGGCGGCAGATGGGCAAGATGGTGCGGCAGAGGGGCTGGCTGGCTGAGGGGGAAGGTGACGAGCAGCCAGACGACACGCCTGTTGTGCCTTCTCCGGCCGCCGGTGTGACCACGACGGCGCGGAAGCGGCTGCCTGTGCCGAACGAGATCATCAGCTTGCTTCAGTCGCTCCAGCGAGAGATCGAGCAGAGCCCCTACTTTTCAAAGCCGGCAGACGACACGCACCTCAGCGACTCTCACGAGGAGAACGATGAAGAGCCGTGCGCCCACTTGCCCCAGCCTGACAGAGATTTCCCCCAGCAGCAGGGCAAGGCCCCTTCCCCCGGCGGCAGCTCTTCGCCCTTCTTCTTCTTCCCGGCCAATCTCCGCAGCGCCGGCACTCCGGACGGGCCCACTCGTCCTGCTACCGCTACGCCTTTATCGGCGGACACAAAGGGGACAGCTCGTGGTCCGGAGCACAACGATGACGGGTCGGAAGGTGAGGACGGGGTGGGTGCCAACGTGCGGCACTCAGGGCCCAAGAAGGGTGGTTCCCGCCATGCGACACCCCTGCTCTCGCTGCCCCAGCACGACCGAGACCTCCCCCAGCAGCAGGGCAAGGCCCCTGTCGGCAGCTTGTTTCAGCTCATGTTCCCGGCCAATCTCGACAGCGACGTCGAGGAGAAGGCGCAGAGGGTGGTCGCTGTGGCGGAGGTGTCCATGGTTGTGGCGGAGGCGTCCATGGTGCGAGCGGTGCGGGAGGCGTGCGCGCACGATCAGCTGGTTCCGGAAGATCAGCGCAAGGCCGTGCATCTCAAGGAGGACCACCAGCTCCGCTTCGAGCTGCCGACTGCCTGCTTCCCCGACCCGTCCCTCCTGGGCGGTGTGTTCTTCCGCCACGCCCTGCAGGCGTGTGTGGTGTACGCTTCGGCCGGGTCGCTCGAGGCGCTGCTGAGCGAGACGCTCATCAAGCCGACTGACAGAGAGAAGAAGAGGCTGGCTGTGGGTGAGGTGCGGACCAAGAAGGAAAGGAAGGTGCTCAAGTGGAGTGACCTGACCCTGGATGCTCTCGACCCATCGTGCATGTACCGTGACGAGCCTCTCACTGTGGTCACTGCAGGTCCGCAGACAAACAGACAGACAGACTGACTGACAGACACAGACAGAGAGAGATATGGACGGCTTGACACTTAGTGCACGTTGGTGCTCTTCCTGCCTGTGTATTCAGATTATGTGCCGTCCCCCCTGGTCGTGCAGGCGGCCGTGGCCAACGCGCCCATACAGATCATGAAGGTACGCCATGAGCCTATCGTGCTGGCTGCGTGTAAGGATACCTCCATGTGTCTGTGTTATGCAGACGCTGCTCGCGTACAACGCCGATGTGAATGCACGAGGACATGCCGGCCAGACAAAGCTGACTTACGACGGCAAGATCAGCTTCAACACATCCGCCGTCGGTAAGCGGCAAGGAAAGATATTGCTGAAACACAGCCTCAGTGCATTGGCTTCCGTGTGTGTGCAGGTGCGGCTGCCATTTGGCACCGTCCTGATCTCCTCAGTTTCCTCCTTCGTGAGGCAAGAGCCGACCCCACAGTCCCGGCAGTCATGACGTTTGAGCGCCGACACGGTAGGTACCAAAGACCTCACCTTGATGCGTGACCTTCCGCCTTCCTTTCCTCTCCCCGCCATCCTTCTCAGGCCCCCCCATGATTGCTTCTCGTGACTTGCTTCAGCTGGTGTGCATGGGTGCGCCCAAGCGGGCTCCGTCGGAGGCGCAGCAGCGGCAGGCCCTGGCCACCATCGAGGTGCTCGATGCGGAGGGACTGATCAAGCACGGCGGGAACGACAGTGGCATCTTCGACATCAACTCCAGGGACATATCTGGCGACACGCCCCTGCACATCGCCGCCGCCAACGGCTGGTGCAGCATGGTCGAGTGGCTGGTCAAGAAGGAGGCGGACCCTGGGGCTGTCAACGAGCACAACAACACGCCTCTCGATGCCACACGAATACTCGGCCAGAAGGTCAGCTGTCAAGGAATGGCGTCCAATGAGCCGTCACAGTGAGTGAGTCCGCCCGGTTGTGTTTCGCAGGAGTGCGAGGCCGTGCTGCTGAAGCATCTGGCGGCCCGTTCAGGGCAGACGGCCACCAACACTGCCGCAGGAGCCAGCACACGAGCACCCTACAAGCCCACGGCAAGCAAGGCAACACCCCCCACATATATGCCATGGGCACCCATACACACACCACACCGTTTGTGTGGATGGATGGATGCAGGCAGCTGCAGCTGGTGCGATGGAGGAGGGCGGCGGTGTCGACCCGCCAGCGGCCGCGGCACACGAGAGGAAGAGGCAGGAGCTGCGTGACAAGGCGACCAAGGGCATGATGGAGATGAAGGCCAGAGCGCGAGCGATCCGGGAGGCATGCGCACACAACCTGTTGACGCCAGAGGGGCGGCGCAAGTGTGTCGATCTCAAGGAGGACCACTCGGTGCTCTCGTCGCTGCCCAGGCCCATGATCGCATACAAGAACGGCTTCGTGCTGAAGCAGGCCCTTCAGTCATGCGTCTGGTACGGCTCGGCTGGGTCGCTCAACACACTGCTGCAGGACAACAGCCTCAAGCCGACGGAGGAGAGTGACGACGAGGGGCTGTCGGTGGGAGAGGTGCGGGCGAGGGATGGGGAGGTTCTCAACTGGCGAGACCTCTCGCCTGCGAGCATCGAGCCATTCGAGGGCGAAGATGTCAACTTTGACGGTAAGTGAATAAGCAAACAAAGATCGAAGGGCGATATGTCTGCTTACGTCTGGATGGCATCAGGTTATGTGCGGATACCTTTGCTGATTCTGGCAGTCGCGTCTGATGGCCCCTCTCCGCCGCAGATTGTCAAGGTACGCCAGTAGAGAGACCGCATGAGATCACTTAGCCGCCTCTCATGGGTCTGCCTGCCTGTCTGCCTCTGTGCAGTCGCTGGTCGAGTACAATGCCGACGTCAACGAAATCGGCGTGGTGGCTGTGAGCCGCAAGACCGGAGAGCCAATGGTGTCCTCCGCTCTCGGTGAGTGTCCAGAGGAAAGGACATGACAGGAGAGAAATGGCGGATGGACACAAGTCTGACTTGGTGTCTTCAGGTGCTGCTTCCCTGTTCCACTTTCCTGAGGTCCTCGACTTCCTTCTGCGGCAGCCGCATGCCGACCCGTAAGTCCTCTCTGAGGGGTACGTCCTTGAGGGCCGAAATCTTCTACAGCTCGCCTGCTTCGGCTACATGGGGAGCCAAGATACCAACGGTGAGTGGGTGACTGGTCCGCCGGTTGCACACCCCGCGCTGACGCTCTTGTGTGATGTGACAGCTCCCCAGCCCCCTCCTGAGCCCATGGTGGTCAGCAAGAGCCGGAAGAAGGCCGCCAGCAAGGGCAGACAAGCCGACAGCGACGGTCTTGCAGAAGATGCGGGACCGCAGGCGGCCGGTGGCACAGCGGCGAAGGAGGCAGAGCAGAAGGAGAAGGCCCGGCAGTTGCGTGCAGTGGCGATGCTGGATGTGCTCGAACGCCATGGCCTGACGCGCAGCACACCGGCCAAGGGCAAAGGGGGGCGCAGCAAGAGGCCCGTGCTTAGCTTGCACTGCCGTACCAAGGAGGGCTGGTCTCTGCTGCATTTGGCGGCCGTCAATGGGTGGTCTGAGGTGATTAACTGGCTGCTGGAGAGGGGCGTGGACGCCGAGCCGTCAACCAGAAGAACCAGACACCCCTGGATAACGCCCACAAATTCGGCAACAAGGTCAGCAGACAGGAGGAAGGCACACCACGTCAGCCGCTTTATTTGTTTGGTGTGTTCAGTCGTGTGTGGATGTGTTGATGGCTCATCTGGAGGCCCGTCGGACGGCGGCAGCTGCCGATCTGGTGCGAGAGGAGGAGAAGGCCCGCAAGAAGGAGGAGAGGGCCGCCAGAAAGCGCGAGCAGAAGCGACTCAAAGTACCCCCGTCATCCACCGCTGCACACATGGATACTGCATGTGTGTGTCATTTTGCCTTCAGCGATTGGCGGCTGAGCAGGCCGAGTCAGCGGGAGATGGCGAGACGGAGGAGGCCGACGACACTCAGCACCAGACTGAAGAAGTAGATGATGCGACGGAGGAAGCTGCTGCGCCGAGCTGCCCGCCAGACACACACAGCGACAGGTGCAGACAGAGCCATTGACACTCCTGCCCAATAGCCCCCATCTGTTGTCCTTCTTGTGTGTGGTGCACAGTGTCGAGCCGGCATCCTCTGACGCCCCGAGTGACCAGCACCACCAGCAGCAACATGTCCTCAGCCAGGAGCCTCCAGCTGATGTCCGCCCACCACCATTCCCTCCTCTCCCTCTCTCCCCTGCTCATGGCGCACCGGCCAGCCATTCGTTTGCTGCCCAGCGGCCGTCCAGCTCATCGTGAGGCACACACAAGAACCGCTCACAGCACACCGAGTGACTCCTTTGATGGGGCCCTGTTGTGTGTCATCCATCCATCCATCCATCAGGTCCTCATTTGCCGACCCGCCGGCATCATCGACGGCCAGCACCACACCTATCGACCGGCCATCCACTGCACAGTCGTCAAGCCGACAGGACCAGTAGGGAAACGTAGCCCCAGTCGACTGTGTGGTCTGTAGCCGACAATGTGGCTTGTGTGTGCAGCTTCCCCCCCGCAAATGTGATGGCTCAGCTGCGGGCGGGCCTGACCGACGGCATAGCCAAGAAGGAGAGGTCAGAAGACACAAAAATGCGACCGGATGAATCGGTGTGTGCAGCCTGGAGTCTCATGCCAGCCGACCGTCTCTGTTTCCGTCAACGAGTGGGACCACGAGAGGGAAGAAAAAGGACAAGAAAGCTGCGGGTGGAGGTGCGGCATCGGCATACCAGCCGGGTGGTGCAGACGACGTGCCGGGCCCGTAAGTCGATAAATGCCGAGATGCGACACGTAGATAGCACATATCGATGGTATGTATCTTCTTGGCTTTCCCTGCAGCTCTGGTGTTGGTTCTGAGATGCCCAGTGGCCCTCTGTCCGTCCCTCCAGGCATCCCTCACACGTACGTGACTGTCAATGCCCGCATCCATCGCGGCAACCAGCTGCTCGTGTGTGTGCGTGGCAGTCTTGAGGATAAGATCGATGCCATGCCGTCGTCTTCGTCGAGTGCTCCCCCGCCGCCTGCACGGTCGGCACAGACATACACACAGATATGGGAGGGGCCGCATCGCTATTCGTCCTTGTCTGATCTGTGTGTGTGTGTGTGTGTGTGCAGTGGTGCTGCGGATGACGAGGACCTTGACCAGCAGGAGGCGATTGCCGCTTCGCTGCAGTCGGCCGCGGATCGGTGGGAGGTCATCAAGAGGGACGCCATCTCAGCTCACAAGCAAAAGAAAGAGTAAGCACAGACGATGACCACACGAATACTCGCGGGAGGCATAGTCGCCTGTTTGTGGCTGTGTGTATGGGGCAGGCTGGAAGAGAGGTTGCGGGCTGAGACGGCCATGGCCGAGGCGTCAACATCCCACGAGGAGCGCCTGGTCGAAGAAAACGACAGACTCAAGACGGCCAACCCCACGTACGCGCAGCCCGTGCCCCACCCATCCATGCACTATCCCCCTTTCATGTATCTGTCTTTCCTGTTGCAGCCTCACCGACGACGAACTTGCCCTCCAGGCCACTGCTGATGACGTCAAGCACTTCCAGGAGACCATCAACGGCCGCTTCAACGAGCTGCAGGCGCTCGTGCTCTCGAGTAGCCACCGGCTGGTGCATCTCGCCCAGAATACTCCTGATGCGTCATCATCATCGGAGGAGCCGGCCCCCGACACACATGACGGGTCTTGCATGCGCCCCTACTTGCCCCCAGAAGCCCCCTCGCCGGTCGGTCCTCCCTCTGCAGCGGCCGGCGAGTCCGTCCAGTGGCTGGAGGAGCTAGAGGGCAGCGAGCTCGAGATCCCCGAGAGGTGTGTGCTGGCGTCCAAGCGGCTGGAGGAAATCGATCAGGACATCGCCAAGTGAGAAAGCACAGAGAGGAGACGACGATTACATGGATTCTTGTGCATCTGTGCCGCCTGCTGCTGCTGCTGCTGCAGGTTGGTGTATGAGGTCGGCCAGGCTGCTACCGACCGTGAGGCATCCGAGACCCGTCTGCAGGGCTTAATCGAGCAGCATGACGAGCTCAAGCGACGCGACGGGGAGCGGTGGGGCACGCAACACCCACAGCCTTCCTTGCCACCTCATCTCTCTCCATCTGTCCGCCCTGTTCTGTCTGTCAGGCTGACCCTAGACAAGCTGAACACCCTTAGGTCACTCGAGGATGTCATGAGCTTCCAGGATGCGGCCCTGCATGAGAGCCAGGGTCTCAAGGACCTGCTCAGCCGCTCCTTCGACCACCAGAGGCGGCTCGAGAGTGTGGACTTCCAGCGTGACGTGGAGCGGCGCATCGCGGCCGAGCGTGAGGCGCGTGAGAAGGAGGCGGCCGAGCAGCTGAAGCGTCAGGAGGAGGCGACGGCCAAGAAGATCGCTGATATGCAGCAGCAGCTGGATGAGGAGAGGGGCAAGCCCAAGCAGAGCATCACATCATGCGTGGTGTGCCAGGAGGAGCCCAATGTCGTGGCGCTGTGGCCATGTCGACACAAATGCCTCTGCACAGGTGCCTGGGTGGGCCAGTGAGTGTCGCACCAGCCGCTGTGTGTCACGGATTGGTGGTCGCATGTGGGCGTTTAGGTTGTTTCGAGAATCTCAAGAAGACGCACACCGGCAGGAAGATGCCGTGTCCCATCTGTCGCACTCAGTGCATCAAGAATCAATCGGGGCCCGTGTACGACCAGGGCCACTGTGACGACGACTGAATGACGTAGGGGCGCAGACCGTTAGACAGCCCGACCGTGGATCGAATTAGTAGCTCTCATGCGCCGATGGCGCCAGCCACTCACGTGCTCATTGATGTGTGTGTATACGCATCTCTCCGTATGTATGTATCTGTGAGACCTCTTCCGTGTGTATGTGTGTGGTGCCCTTTATAGTGTGTGAATATATAAAGCTTCCCGCCAGACCGTGTTTACTCCACCCAGGCCACCGGTCACACACATGATGAACGAACGCTTCACACACAGGTCACAAACAAACCCACCACATGCCATTAATTAGTCGTCGACACATCCGATGCATCACGACCTGTCGTCAGAGGTCACTCACTGCCAAGTGTGTGAGGCTTGTCGGTGTGCCGAGAGGAAGGTTCGACTCGGAATAAGGATTTATGTGTGTGACCCTTGTCTCTGTCGGTCATCGTCTCGCAACCATGAGTGTCACAACACGCACGCAGTGACGACTATACACACCGCGCAGCATCTCTATGATCGATGGAGAACGTACGCACCCACACCCCCCACCCAAAGTCAGTCTGTCATTCTTGCCTATGACAAGGCGCGCGCATCCGGCCCAGAACCTACTGCGCGTCACGACTTCTGCCAATCGAGACGTGCAATCGGCCATGGTCCGTCAGCGGCCTCCCTGACACGAGCACAATGACACACAGTTCTCAACCCATTGCCATCACTTGCCCAACACAAAGAGAAAGAAAGACAAATAAACGTCCGGCCGATCATCTCTCTCTGCCTCTCTCTTACACCAACCAACGGGACCAAGCACCAAGTGAACAACAACGCAAGAGAGACCCATCTCTGGCTTGTCTTCCTCTCTCTGCGACCGGAGACCGGCGACCCAAGCCGCTCTCCGAGTGTGTTCCACCATCTTTGGCAATGGTGACATGCAATCCGAAGGCGGCCTGGCCCGTCCGTCTCACGCCGCAAAGAGAAAGACAGACCAGAGCGCCTCCCTCTGCCTAGGCCATATGCTGTTTTGCAATGAACGCGTCCTGAAGACCCACACACATGCAACACGCAATTCCTGCACAAGCCCACGTCTGTGTGATGGGTGGCCACTCACCTGGAAAAGCACCGACACGGACGAGTTTGTGTGCACGCGGCGAATGGTCTGCACACACCACACAGACACACACAGACACAGCACAGTGGCCACATACATAATCAGGCAGCTCTGCTCTCCCCCTCTCACCCCTGGCTGACCTCGGCGAGCAGTTTGCCGATCGACAGCACCCGCAGCTTCTCGGAAAAAATGTACTGAACACACACACACAGACACACACACACGCAGCACATGACACCGCTGCTTTGTCTGGCGTGTGTGCGCGTGTGTGTGTGTGTGTGTACGTTAGGCAATGGGATGGAGTTGGTGACGATGAGCTCATCGATGGGGGACTTGTTGATGCGGTCTATCGCGCCCTTGGAAAACACACCGTGGGTCGCGTACATGAAAATACGACGGGCACCTAAACACACACAGAGACAGACAGATCGATCAAAGGTGGATCGGTTCAATGCATGTGTGTCTTGTTGGCTACCGGCTTTCTTGAGGAAATTGGCTGTCTTGAAGGCCCGACTTCCCTGCATTGTGTGCACATACCCACACACACCACAGACAGATGGTCATCATCGATCTCCTGTGTGCCTGCCTCTCTGCTGTGCGTGAGTGTGTCCCGCTGGCTCACCGTGTCGATGATGTCGTCCACAATGATGCAGTCGCACCCCTTGACGTCACCCACAAGCCAATCATGCCGACCCAGACTCGCAACATTCCTGTCCGAACCACAGACACACACAGACACACATTTCCACACCATACCATTATCTGTCTCGGTGTCTGTCCGATGCACTCACTTTTTCTCCCCAGCTTGGGTGATGATGGTGTGGTCGGCGAGGGACCCAGGCGGCGTCAGGACGAGCGGCGAGCCCTCCCTGCGGCTCCGCTCCGGCCGGTTGGACACCATGGACGCCAGACCCGCGTCGATGCCCACCCGCGTCAGCCTGTTCCAGAAGGCTTTTGTCCGCTCGCCGCCCATATTGTCGGTCGCTACCACAACCACCTTCTCCAGATGCTGATGGGAGGAGATGAACACAAAGGCGGGGTGGTCGAGTGCTGGTGGATCTTATCTCTCTCTTTCCGTGGTGGTTCTCACTCACTTTCTTCTTGAAGTATTGGACGGCCAGCGCCTGTGCGTCGATGTTATGCACGGGGACCTCAGTGGGGAAGAAACCCTAGCGACACACATGCCATACAGACAGACAGACAGACAGGCAGGCAGGAGAGACTGGGAGAAAAGCATGAACATACGTGTGGCCCATCCCCACGCACCTCCATTCTGGGGTTGTGAACGTCCACCAAGATGACGCGGTCCACGCCCAACGTCGACAGCTGCACTCATGCATCACGCCACGCACCAGACAGCAAAGAAAACACACTGGGACGTTCACTAGTGAACGTCGTTGTGTGCTGGCTGACCGACCATGAGTGCCACATCAGCGGCAGCTATCGGCCGTGGGCGATGGGCCTCAAACACTTGCGTCTGACGCGCATAGCTGCATGGCATGCAGTGCAGCGGTGGGTATATACAGAGAGAGGAGCAAGATAGAGCAAGGAACTGGTTCGTGTATGTGTGTGTGTGATTGTTTGCCGATCTGCACACCTGAGGTATGGGATGACAGCGGTGATGCGTTTGGCCGACGACCTTCGCAGTGCCGACGTCATGAGCAGCAGTTCCATGAAGGCCGAGTCAGTGTCCTTCTCGCTGTGGGGGGCACTCTGGAGGACGTACACGTCACCCCCACGCACCTCGTCGAGCACCTGCACCGCGATCTGGACAATAGGGAGTGGTTGCGGACAGCACACGCAAGCACACACATGAAGCGGGCAGCAAGGAGGATGAAGCCATCTGATCGCCTTACTTCTCCGTCAGCGAACTTGCCGCAGAAGGCACGACCCAACTGATGAGAGAAATGCACGCCACACATCCATCAAGGATTCCGTCAGTGTGTGTGGGCTGTGTGTGTGTTACCGAGATGCCCAGGTGTGCGCATATTTCCCTGGCCAGCTCAGGGCTGCTGCTGCCGGCGAAGATCTTCATCTCGCTGAACTCGGCCACCTCGTCGTAATAGTCGCTACTGCACACACAGAATCACAAAACAAAGGAGCAACGACACACGATACGACGCTTGCAGAGGTGCATGCCAGCCAGACACAGAGGCATTCCTTAACGGACCTCATCTCTTCGCCTCCCACGGTGGCCGGCTCCTCGTCCGGCAGCTCGGAGGCATCCCGCTCCTCACAATGCGCCATCCGCCGCCTCTTGACGCCCCAACCAGCCAGCCACGCCCCACCAATGCCCACCGCAGCAAACAGGGCAAACGACAGCCCCTCCGCCCGCCTTGCTCGTGGTGTTTGCTCAGCGCCACCATGACTCATTGACGACCATGGAAAGAGCGGCCTTGTTGCAGAGGTCACCACCGGACTGATTGTGCCGCTGCTGCTGCTGGAGTGAGATCTTGAGGTCGAATGCTGACAACGTTGGCTGCATCTGGCCCAGATAAGTGACGTTACTGCTGCGGGAGCATCAGATGGGAGGGAGAGTGAGGGCTGCAGCCGGCTGGCTACTCTTGCGGCTTGAGTGATAGATCTCATGTGTGCGTCCCTGGCAGCTCTTGGTTGCTGCAGGATGAGGCGAACCCGCTTTCGCCTCCTCCCTCCTGCCGTCGCCTTTTCTGCGAGCTAAAGCTCGCAGGCCCTTCCAGCCCTGCTTCGCGCTCCCAAAGGGACCTCATCTCCCTTCTGTGGTTATGGATCTCAGTGTCCTGTGGTCAGGTGCGAGAATAAAGGCAGTTCACGCACAGTTGATGTGCACACCGCTTACCCTTCGCTTCGTTCTGTGATCTGTGTCTTCAGGAGCCTCCCGGCTGCCACGTGTGCTTGGATGGAGGCTTGGGAGTGACTGAAAATGTCCACGCGAAAGGCCAGGTCGACTGCCAACCTCTCTTCGGCTCTTGACCTCACGAACGTGAGTATTGACGTCATCTACGGCGTCGCCGACCACCTCGCCGCCACCGAGTGTGTCATACTGAGGACCACATGCCGCTCGCACCGACGTGCCCTCGGATCATTCTACTTGTAAGAGGGTGGGGAGGGCAACCAACCACAGCGACGGATTCCATATCTCTGGTTGTTTTGATTGGTTCAGCCGCCTGCGCGTCGTTTCCCGCACGGCGAGTGCATCGGTGTCAGCTCATTCGTGCCTGAGAAAGCCGTCGCGCATCTCGCTGGGTGGCGGTTTGTCCATCGCCGTCACGGAGGAGTCGTCTTGGCGTCAGCTGTGCTGTCTGATTGAGGCGGCGGGCGACTGGAGGAGGTGGGAGGACCTGAGCCGCCTGATTGCCAGCCTGTTTCCCTCCTCTGGCGGCAGCACCTTCACTCTGGATGCATCCAGGCTGCTCAGCGACATCCCCTCCCTCTCGCTGCTCCGCGATCTACCGGAGGACTTGTTGCAGTACACCCTCATGCGCCACTTCCTCCAGCACACAGACGGCCGTCCACTCGGTGTCGACTACAACGTGCGGCAGCTGGCGGCCCTCTGCCGGGCGGTGAGAGGGTCGTCTGACGCACTGCCGGCGCCCGCCAGCCACAGAAGCGACAGCGCCATGATGTCGCCCCTGTCGCTGCTGCACCTGTCGCGCAAAGGGCAGCTTGTGTGCTTCGCTGTGTGCAAGTACCTGGACAGCTACACGCGGCCTGCGTTTGAGTGCATGGTGTACGTCCGTGAGGGCGGTATGGCGCTGCTTGGCCATCTGAGGAGGGACCAGTGGGAGAGGGTCATCAGACAAGACACCACAGGTGCGTCGTTGGCAGCTGCTCAGGCCGCAACGAGGCCACGCTACAAGGTAGGCAGGAAGAGAGGTAGAACACAGCACATTTCTCACTCTCTGTCAGAATATCATCCTTCCCCTTGTGTGGGTGTCCGTCCATCCAGGTTGAGACGTTCTATCGGCACCTACAGGGTGGTGTGGATGACACTGCACGCGCCGACGACCTCTCCTCCCCTCCCCCCACCCCCCGCAGCTCACCCTCCTCATCAGCCCACAGTAGCCGCGACATACTGGCCGTCGCCACAGTCCTCTACTCGCTGCCCGTGGCAACCAACACACAGCCTGGCGCCCCTCCCCCTCCCCTCCCCGCCAGCTCTTCTGTGCTGATCCGTCTCAAGCTGTGGAAGGCCCCACACACGGCCTCTGGTGGTGAGGCGGGCGCCGGCAGGGACCATTCGCGTGTCTGTGAGAGGGCGCTGGCTGGGCTAATGCACAAGTGGCGGGCGGTTGGGGGTGTGGGGCAGCTGAAGCACACCGAGCTTGTGGGGCCTGTGGCATTTGAGCTGCCGATGAGTCTGTTTCTGCCCTACACGGACGCCATCCCCGCCCCACCGGCCACCGTCACCCCCCCACCCGTCAATGAACAGCATGACAATGCCAACGACGGACAGCCGGCTGCTGCCCCTGCTGCTGCTGGTGCCGCTGTTGCACCAGGAGAGGAGCCGCCCAACTGACAGGAGCATGTATATGTGCATAAGGATTATTGCTTTTATTAAGTGTGTATCGACTGTGGGTGGGCGCGGCGTGTATGAGTGATAGCGTGTTGGTGCATGTCTGGTCGCCATGTGCTCCAAAGAGGGGTTGTTTGGCGATCGGGTGTACGATAGAGAGACGTGTAGTGTCGTGGTGTGTTGGTGTGTAGTGTAGTGTCGCCTAGTGATGTGTGGGGCCGGGTATTGCATGTCTGTCCGTCACCTGGCTGTCGATTGCGTGCGTACACATGTGCACTCACTCACTCACTCACTCCCGGTTACTGTCGGTTTGTGTGCCTGCCTTCCTTCGTGTGGGCCTCCTTTTTCGTAGCGGTCTTCGCAATGATGATTTTTGTTGATGGCGAGTGTGGCGCTGTGCTCTCTCGGACGGCTAAGAGCGTAGGATGTGCCGCCAGGTAGCGCGCTGTCTTTAGCCAAGTCCCTGTTTCAAGGTGATCGATCGACATTTCGGTGCATCGCCGTGAGCGACTGAACGCCATTCGTGAAGAGACATGTATTGATGGCATGATATGAACATACACTTGTCCTTTGCAAACATCGAATTGGCACTCGGCAGGAAAGAGAAGAAGAGCTTGTCTGTGTAGGGATGTCTACTTTTAGCGCCTGAGGCTGCTCGCTTGTTGCGGGTACGTAGACACACGTAAGATACACAAAACGAGCGAGTCAGTCACAATAGGGTGGGTCTGAGATAGCGGTATACATGCGGATATATAGTGTGGATTGGTGATTCTGCGCTATCAGGAGGACATGCAGAGTGAGTGAGACCCGGCCCTCATTAAGGTGCTGGTCGGCGGAGCCACACGGGTCTTCTTCGTGGAACGCTGGGGTTACTGATGTAGCTCCCGCTCCTTGCAGACCACACCCTTGCGGATCATTTTCTTTTTCTGCAAATGACAAGTCAAATCCATAGCATGAGCCCCCACACATTCTTCATTCACTCCTTTTGGTTTCTTTTCTCGTTTCTCTTTCTTACTCTCTCAGTGCTGACTCACCTGCGAGGTGCTGTTTGAGAGAGGGTGCTTGGTGACCCTTCTCGATACTGCTCAGCGCGACGGGCGCCCCCTCGATTCAGACCTCCAGGCCCCCACTTTCGTCGAAGAACAATATGAACTGTCCCCACAGCGCCCCCTTTGGGGCTCCGACGAAGTAGACCTTTCGCAGAGTGAGCCAGTCGGCGTTCTGCTGGATCCCACTCACTCTGCATGTATGTCTGATTACACATAATCAGCACACCACACCCCATTCGCGAGCGTATCACTCTCTCGATTCCCCCCTCACCTCTGTCTGACTCGTTCGTATATTTTATATGTATTCGCATACTCGCAGTGTGCCGTCAGGGTTCTGGTAGAAGGGCTGAACGGTGAGGCAGGTGAAGTACTCTTCTGCAGAGAGCGACTTGACTTTGCTGTTGGTGCCGTTCTTGTGCGGGTTTTCGTTGACTGTCAGCGTAGGCCAGGCAGGCGTCACCTTCATCGGCGTCTTGCAAACACCAGGCCTAACAAAGACAGACAAACATGAAAAACACAAAGAGGCAACGCAAGAGGCATGCTATGGGAGACGGCGCTAAATGCTGTTCTCTCTCTCTTCTTTGGTCTCATACGTGCTCATCCTCCTAGAGACACGTTCGGCGTTGTTATCGAAATCGCCCGTCAGGTGCCCCATGATTTGTTTCAGGTTCGTGCCAACCCACGCTGGTGGGCTGATCATGTCTTTCTCTTCAACCTCTCCAGCTTCTTCGACGGAGGGTTTCAAGTACGCGATACAATATAGAAACACCTGTTCAGAAAGACACCAATGCACACACAGGTGCATACACAAACAGAGACGGAGACCGAGACGGAGACAGAGAGAGACACAGAGGAATGTGCACTTCCCTAGCTGTCTCTCCCCCTTCACCCAATATGCACCAAACAGTTGACTCCATAGGCGTGACACACCGCGCTGATCGATGTCTCATCCCCCCACACGCCGGGCGCGCCTTTGCAGGTCGCATCTCCGTGGACTTTCATAATGCGCTGCTCCTCATCGTCGCCCACCATTCACTGCTCGTAGACGTCGGAGCGCTTGCTCATGTAATCCACGGACGACTGCCGAATCTTATTGTGACACGCTGGTCGCCCGAATATAAACAATGAGATCATCCAAGCATACACACACACACACAACACAGACATTTCACATAGAACCATACACTCGACTGACCCGTGTAATCACAGGTTGACTGACGTGTACCATCCTCATGAGACCTTGAGGATCTACTCAAACCTATGGCACACCTGCAGCCACGCATTCACGTCTCGGTTGTAGTAGAGGAAACGCCGCATCTGGAGCTCGAAGGTCTCCACTAAGTCACCATCAGCAGTCTTGACATACTCGGGCCTCATCATGGATAGCACTTTAAGACCTCAGCCTGGCAGAGTCTTCATGAGGGTGACGATGGATGACAGCGGTTTGAAAAATAAAGAAAAAAATGCCACACATCGCAGCGGTACTCGTTGATGTTGGAGCAGGTCGAGTAGTCGCACATGCAGCTGCAACTTTACATTCTCTCGAACATTGTAGTCAGCTAGTGTGCGGTTGTTGTCGACCACATGTTTGACGCATGGCGTCCCAATGCGTTTTGGAGCATACCTGTATGTGACTGTGTGCTTACGTTGAGCCCGTTCTTTCTTTCAGGGCTGATGATGCCGCCATGTATCACCTTCCCGCACTTGAAGCAGATCACGGGGTTCTCACCGGTGATGTCGTCGTCTGGTTTGACGCCAGGGATATCATCGTGAGTGACCATCTGCCGGCAGGTATTTAAACACCACCCACACACATTCGCAAATGACTGCCGATGTGAGTGTGAGTGTGTTGGTGTATTCTCTTACGGCTAGGGCATTCTCATCGTGCTAACATCTGGCGATCATGAGGGGTTGGTAGTCGAAGATGCAGTGCTCTCCATGAGGGTCGAAATCCAAGAGGCTTGAAGAGCTGTCAGTGTAGGAGCCATCAGTGCCGCCCGTCTTCGTGGAGGTGGTGATGGCGCTGATCTCGCGAGTGGCGGTCTTGGTATCGGCCTTGATGTCGGTGGTCTCGTTGCCGTCTTGGGCATTCTGGTTGATGGGGAGGGTGAGGAGGTAGTTGTAGATCTTGTTTCGACATTCAGCCTTCACTGCACGTTCACATCCACATGAGCGTGTGCATGAGAAGTCCTTCCCACTCATGTGTCTGAGTCAGTGTCTGGTCTGAGTATGATTGCTGACCGTCATCCATGACCGCCGCAACCATCGGTTCTATGATGTCGATAATCTTGTCACACACCTCTCTAGTCTGCTCCATTTGCGCAACCTGTATAGGCAAGTAGAATCATACACCTTGCACAGAACAGGCAGCAGTGCGATTACTTTTGGGTCGAGTGAGACGCGCTGGAGGTGCATCTGCATCGATCGGGCCGAGGTGGCGGAGGGCTCGCTGTCGCCGCCGAGGTTTTGGGTGTTCTCCTGTGGTGAGGGGGTGGGGTAAGTGCTGCTGGACGCCTGACATACATCCACAGCCGAGTAAGTAAGGGAGTGACTATTCTGAGTATGATGGACTTCCACCCACCATGGATTCGTCTTCTCTTGCCGACACGTCACGTCCCGCAAATGACTGCCGATGTGAGTGCCGATGTGAGTGTGAGTGTGTTGGTGTATTCTCTTACGGCCAGGGCATTATCGTCGTGCTCCCGTCTGGCGATCATAAGGGCTTGGTAGTCGAAGATACAGTGCTCCCCGTGTGGGTCGAAGTCGTCGCTGTCCTTGTCGGGGCAAGGTCAGATGAGTGCCTGTACTTGGCCTTGAGCATCTTGTACGGCGATGGGCTTCTTGGCGGGGCCACAGTAGCGGTGCTCCCCCTGGTTGCTCGATGCCGTTGGTTCGTCGCTGTCGGACGCTGCCATTTGACTGTCTTCTGCTGCAGGAAACAGAGCGTGTCAGTCACATGTCTTAGTGTATCTTGGCTGGTTTATCGATGCTTACGCAGTCCTTCGTTGCCTAGTTCTTTGCCGTCAAACAGCGATGGGACCTGGTCGTTGCCGTGATGGCCGATGGGATCCCACGGGTCTCCCAACTTGTTGTTGCCGTCATGGCCGATAGGGTTCCAGGGTCCCCCAACCCTTGTTGCCATGGAAGTCCCCTGTGCAGCAGTTGACGAGACAGAATCTGAGAGATCCAGTGAGGCTGAGTCTATTTGTCACCTGTGGGGCCGTTTGGTTTGAAATCGTTCTCCACAGCGATATTGGCCATCATATCTGGCTCAGCTGCCTCTTGGATGTACCACGGCTGCGCTTGGACCGCCCTAAAATGAAGGTCCACCAGTGTGTATGTGTCTGTTTGTCTTTGCATCGTACGTGAGGGAAACGAGAGCGGTAGAAGTCTTCCTCTTGCCCTCCGCGCTTTCGTTAGATCACCTCCATGTCCTCGTCGTCTCGGAATACCACTCGGTGGTTGATCGGGCGAGCCATGAGATGAGAGCATGAGAGCACACTCTTGAGTCGGCGTCGAAAATCGCGGTCTTGAAGTCCACCACATAGGCGTCTGTGGGGAGTACGAGCTTCTCGCCGGTCGACAAACCTGATCAACACGCACAGCAGCCACGACAGTGCGTGTGTGGCGGTGATGCTGGTGGTGGTGTATGTATGTGTGTGCGTTGTACCCCAGTCTGATTTGAGGTACACCGCCGATCTGCAGAGCCCCAGGGGTGAGCACGAGAGCCCATCCCAGACGAGCACACGATAGGCTGGATAAGCTTGACCAGCTGGCAGCTTGCTGGCGCCGGCCAGGTGGTGGTGGTGTCTGTTGTCACAGGCCGGCGGCAGAAGGCCTCTTTGTCTGATCAGTCGGCCACTATCGTCGTAGCTGCGCTTCTGCCCCCCCCCCCCCCCCCCCCCC